CTGCCCAAATAAAAACCCAGTGACATTTTAGAGGGTGTGTTAAGGAAACTCTCTGAATTCAGAAAGGGAAGTCTGGTCATGGCTGGAGATTTCAATTTGTGTCTGGACTCTCAGTTGGATACGTCATTAGGTACACAGAGAGAGGGGGATAGGAGATTGAAATCATTGAAGAGGTTACTATATCAATACCAATTGACATGTGCTTGGAGAGTGAAACATCCAAAAGAAAGAGATTATACCTTCTTCTCTCGTGTGCTTGGTTCGTATTCAAGACTGGACTATATAATGATTGAGCATAGACAGTTGGAGTTGTTGGTCGGTTCCAACATAGAGGTCCTGTCCATTTGTGATCACTCTCCTGTCACGTTGAGATTATGAGTAGGAGACCAGGATAAAATAAGCATGTGGAGACTTAATGTGATGCTTATGCAGGACCCTGAAATAGAGGAAAGGTTAAGGCTGGAAATTGAGCAATTTTTTTAGCTCAATGAGACTAATGATGTTTCGATGGCCACAGTCTGGGAGGCACATAAAGTGTATATCAGGGGAATATTGATTTTGATAGGAACACAAAAAAAGAAAGGACGAGGGAAAAAAATAAAGATGGTGACGGAAGAGCTTTATAAGTTGGAACAGTTACATAAAAAGAAGATAGGAATGACGTACAGTGAGGAATAGAAGTGTTTGAACACCCTGCGATTTTGCAAGTTCTCCCACTTAGAAATCATGGAGACGACTGAAATTCGCATTGTAGGTGCATTCCCACTCTGAGAGACAGAATGTAAAAAAAAAAATTCAGGAAATCACATTGTATGATTTTTAAAGAATTTATTTGTCTTGCACTGCTGAACATACAGTAAGTATTTGAACACCTAAGAAACAGCAAGAATTCTGGCTCTCAAAGACCTGTTACTGTGCCTTTAAAAAGTCCACCTCTACTCCACTCATTAATCTAACTTAGTAGCACCTGTCTGAGCTCTTTAAAGACACCTGTCCACCCCACAGTCAGTCAGACGCCAACTACTACCATGGGCAAGACCAAAGAGCTGTCAAAAGACACCAGAGACAAAATTGTGGACCTCCACAAGGCTGGAAAGGGCTATGGGGCAATTGCCAAGCAGCTTGGTGAAAATAGATCAACTGTTGGAGCAATTGTTAGAAAATGGAAGAGGCTAAAGACGACTGTCAGTCTCCCTCGGACTGGGGCTCCATGCAAGATCTCACCTCGTGGGGTATCACTGATGATAAGAAAGGAGAGGAATTAGTCCAGAAGGGAGGAGCTGGTCAAAGACATGAAGAGAGCTGGGACCACAGTTTCAAAGGTCACTGTCAGTAGAACACTACGCCATCATGGTTTCAAATCATGCATTGCACGGAAGGTTCCCCTGCTCAAGTTATCACATGTCCAGGCCCGTCTGAAGTTTGCCAATGACCATCTGGATGATCCAGAGGAGGCATGGGAGAAAGTCATGTGGTCAGATGAGACCAAAGCAGAACTTTTTGGTCTAAACTTCACTCGTCGTGTTTGGAGGAAAAAGAAGGATGAGTTGCATCCCAAGAACATCATCCCTACTGTAAAGCATGGGGGTGGTAACTTCATGCTTTGGGGGTGTTTTTCTGCAAAGGGGACAGGACGACTGCACTGTATTAAGGAGAGGATGAATGGGGCCATTTATTGTGAGATTTTGAGCAACAACCTCCTTCCCTCAGTCAGAGCATTGAAGATGGGTCATGGCTGGGTCTTCCAACATGGCAACGACCCAAAGCCCCAGCCAGGATAACCAAGGACTGGCTCCGTAAGAAGCATATCAAGGTTCTGGAGTGGCCTATCCAGTCTCCAGGCCTAAATCCAATAGAACATCTTTGGAGGGAGCTGAAACTCCGTGTTGCTCAGCGAGAGCCCCGAAACCTGACAGATCTAGAGGAGATCTGTGTGGAGGAGTGGGCCAAAATCCCTGTTGCAGTGTGTACAACCCTGGTCAAGAACTACAGGAAACGTTTGACTTCTGTAATTGCAAACAAAGGCTTCTGTACCAAATATTAACACTGATTTTCTCAGGTGTTCAAATACTTATGTTCAGCAGTGCAAGACAAATAAATTCTTTAAAAATCATACACTGTGATTTCCTGAATTTTTTTTTTCAATTCTGTCTCTCAGAGTGGGAATGCACCTACAATGTGAATTTCAGACACCTCCATGATTTCTAAGTGGGAGAACTTGCAAAATCACAGGGTGCTCAAATACTTCTGTTCCTCACTGTATATAAGAAGATAATCTTTAAGAGAGATGAGTTAAAAGATCTCATGGAACAAGAGTCGAGAAGGATACTTAATAGAGTCTCAAAAGAAATATACCAGTGGAAGAATAGACCCGGAAAATATTTAATGAGGAGGTTGAAGAAAAAGAGATCCAAAAATTTTATAGAAAAAGTTAAAGATGGGAAAGGAGAAATAGCGTATGCCACTATTGATATCACTAACAGGTTCCAAAAATATTATAGTGCACTGTATGACATGAGCCGAAGAAATCAAAAGGAAACGGGAGGAAAAGAAAAGATTTAGGCAGAAATATTTAAGTGAGGTGGAGCTGCCAAGATTAGCAGAAGAAAAACTAGAGGCCCTTGAGAGAACTATTACCCCAGAGGAAATTATTTTAGCCTTAAAAAACATGGCCAGAGGAAAAAGCCCAAGTCCGGATGGATATACCGTGGGATATTTTTAAAAATTTAGAGATCTTCTTGTCCCTAAAATGTGTAGCTATGTGAATGCACTTGGGGAGGGGTTGGAAATGAGAGAGGAGTCATTGCAAGCTTATATAGCAATCATTCTTAAAGAAGGGAAGGATAGCTCACAGTGTACCAGGTATACGCCCATATCTTTATTAATATTGATACAAAATTATATGCTAAGGTGTTGGCAAGGAGACTGAAGGAGCTGATGCCGGAATGGGTACATCTGGATCAGGTGGGCTTCATTCCTGGAAGAGAAGGAAGGGACAATGGTTTGAGATCTTTGATCCTCTTGCAAAGAGTTAAGAGAGAGAAAGTGCCGGCAATACTCCTATCGATTGATGCCGAAACAATGGATAAAAGGGTTGTATAATGGTCCGTCAGAGGCGGTTAAGGTCATTGGATCCCTCTCCCAGTTTTTTAGAATGTACTAGGGCACTAGACAAGAATGCCCTTTTCTCCTTTGTTATTTGTACTGTCTTGGAACCCGTCCTGGCAAGGGTAAGGAAGTGTGTAGATATTGCTGGAATAAAAATAAGGGATAAGGTGGAAGCATACGCAGATGATATGCTGTTCTGTATTGTTAACCCTAGAATAACATTGCCTAACCTAATGAGAGTATTAAAGAAGTATGGAGAGCTGTCAAATCTGAAAATAAATCTGGCAAAGTCAGAAATTTTAAATATCAATCTCTCAATGTCAGAGAATCTGAGTTTACAAAAAGAGTTCCCATTTATCTGGAGGGAAAAGGAAATAGGCTATTTGGGAGTAAAATTAACCCCCTTAATAAAAGGCCTATATCAGGAAAACTATATTCCATTAATAAATGAAATAAAGGATGAGCTGGGGAGACTTTCAAAGGGAGGAGCCTCTTGGATAGGGTGTATAAATTTGATAAAGATGGTGATTTTGCCAAACATTCTCTATACATTCCACATGCTCCCAGTACACCTTCCAGGGTCTTTCTTTGGGATAATAAAGAAGATAATACTCAGGTTTATATGGGTAAATAAGAAACAAAGAATTAGTTATGAGGTTTTGAGTAGGGTAAAAGGGAAAGGGGGTTTGGGCTTTCCGAATGTGAGAAATTATTATCTAGCGGTGATTTTATCACAAATAGTAGATTGGACATTTAATTCACAAGGGAAGGGTTGAGTAAATATGGAAGGGATTTTAAGTAAGGCACAGTTAGGGAAAATTGTATGGATACCACATAAGCTTTGCACATTGGATGTGAACACTAGTTCATTGACAAGGAAAGTTTTAAGTCTATGGGATAGAATGTATTGGCAAAAAGGATGGAAATATAATTCAGTATTGACTCCCTTGGTGGGAACAGAGTATTTCCCCCCAGAGAAGGATAATACTTTTAGGAAATGGATTAAAGATAAGAATGCACGTTTGAAGGAAATATTGAATAAAGGGAAATTGCACACTTTTCAAGATTTAAAGAAGAAAAAAGATTAATTTTTCACATTAGATGAATGGCAGCATTGTCAATTAAACCATTTTGTTTCAACGCTCCCACAACCATTGAGGACATCAGAGGACATACCGTATTTGCCGGCGTATAAGACGACTGGGCGTATAAGACGACCCCCTACTTTTCCTGTTAAAATATAGGGTTTGAGCTATACTCACCGTATAAGACTACCCCTCTTCCAACACACACCAAATAAAAATGAAAAAACATCAGATTTGATTTCAATATGGTATGGTATTTCAGTATGGTATTCCAATGATGGGGTGCTATTCCTCCCACTGACACCAATGATGGGGCATGATTCCTCCCACTGATACCAATGATGAGGCACTACTCCTCCCACTGACACTAATGGTGCCCCATCAGTAGTGTCAGTGTGTGAGGAATAGTGTCCCATCATTAGTGTCAGTGGGAGGAATAGTGCCCCAATCATTGGTGTCAGTGGATGAAATAGTGCCCCATCATTAGTGTCAGTGGGAGGAATAGCACCCCATCATTGGTATCAGTGGGAGGAATAGTGCCCCATCATTAGTCAGTGGGAGGAATAGTGCCCCATCGTTGGTGTCAGTGGGGAGGAGGAATAGTGCCCCATCGTTGGTGTCAGTGGGGAGGAGGAATAGTGCCCCATGGTTGGTGTCAGTGGGGGAGGAATAGTGCCCCATCATTGGTGTCAGTGGGGAGAATAGTGCCCCATCATTGGTATCAGTGGGGAGAAAAGTGCCCCATCATTGGTGTCAGTGGGGGGGAGGAATAGTGCCCCATCATTGGTGTCAGTGGGGGAGGAATAGTGCCCCATCATTGGTGTCAGTGGGGGAGGAATAGTGCCCCATCATTGGTGTCAGTGGTGTCATTGGTGTCAGTGGGGGAGGAATAGTGCCCCATCGTTTGTGTCAGTGGGGGAGGAATAGTGCCCCATCATTGGTGTCAGTGGGGGAGGAATAGTGCCCCATCATTGGTGTCAGTGGGGAGAATAGTGCCCCATCATTGGTGTCAGTGGGGAGGAGGAATAGTGCCCCATCATTGGTGTCAGTGTGGAGGAGGAATAGTGCCCCATCGTTAGTGTCAGTGGGGGAGAGGAGCGGCTGCTCCTTCTTTCAGTTCGGCAGCTTGATTTTCGCGGGGCCGTTCGGCTTGGCCTCCTCGCCGGTGATTGGTCGCCTGTGTGCGCTGGCGCCCAATCACCGGTAAGGAGGCGGAGCCGAGCGGCCGCGCGACCATCGAGCGGCCAAACTGAAAGAAGGAGCAGCCGCGCTTCCTGGACCGGATCATCGTGGGACCAGGACCGGAGCCAGGTAAGGTAGAGCAGCCCCTCTGCCCACCCCTGTACTTAGTGTCCGTTGGAGGACACCGCCCCTGGAAAAAGTGCAGCCCTGACACACCGGCTCGCCGTATACCGGCGTATAAGACGACCCCTGACTTTTCAGAAGATTTTCAGGGGTTGAAAAGTCGTCTTATACGCCGGCAAATACGGTATATCCATTTGAAAAATTGTTGAATGTAAATATAGTTCCAAAACGAGTCACCTCTAGGATATATAAGATCCTTATGGTTATGGACGGAACTGATCCTCCGGTGTTCTTGGAAAAATGGGAAAAGGAGAGCTTGGAACAGAATTGGACAAGCAACAAAAGATTTGAATTTTTAAACTAACACACAAGGTAAAGAATATGAGCACAGTTGAAATGAATTATAAATATTTGGAGAGATGGTATATTACACCAAGTGTGGCACATAAACAACAAGTTGCTATTTCACCTTTGTGTTGGAGAGGATGTGGAGAAAAGGGAACAATGGCACACATATGGTGGGATTGCCCAAAAAATACAGGATTACTGGAAGGAAATAATCCAATATACTCAGGGGATATGTGGGATGACTGTACAGAAAGACCCATGGACGTGTCTATTGTATAATTTTGAGCCTTCAGTCAAAAAACATAAAAGCAGAGTACTTTATCACTTAATTAGCACAGCTAAGGGCCTGATTCCCAAGCTCAGGCAGGTTCCGGAGCCACCAAGAATAAATGATAGGATAAATAGAGTTGAAAAATATCTATAAAATGGAGGAGTTATATCAGACAGAGGAAATGGAATGGAAAAATTTAGGAAAACGTAGTATAGTTGGTTATTATTTAAAACATCTGAAAGATACACGGAACTTGTCAGAGCTGAGGGGGGAAGTCAGGAGAGAGTTTAATATAGAGAGGAGTGAGGGAAGGATTATAGATACAGATACAGATAGATAATCACAAGAGGAGATAGAGATAAGGTAGGAGGATGCGGATTGGGGTACCAGGTCAGGGGGAGGGTGGGAGGGTAGACAGAGTAGGGGATAATGATGGGGTAAAATGGAAGCATGTATATGTGAAATGTTTTTGTAATTAAATTGTTCTTCTTTTGTACTGGAAAATTTAAGAAAGATATAATAGAAAAAAAACAAAGAAAAATGTCAACTGTATTTTGTTTCTCAACAGTCTGGGATAAAATTGCTTTCTAACCTGGGAAGTGTGTGTTCTAGGAAATGTAAAGCTTGAATCTCACAGCAACTCTCAAAATGTTTACAGCCAGACAGGAGGGTGAGCTAACACAGACCAATAGCACTAGGGCCAATGAGATTAAGGCTTATTGGGCATACAACTCAATATTTTGGTGGCTGGAAAGAACAAATGTTACAGAACAGTTATGGATCATATAAGTCACTAGGTGTAGAAAGTTCATTCGGATTTACAAGGGACTTTATTAACTTTCGTTATTTTATTATAGAAGTGGCACCCCCAGGTCTCAGCCCCCATGTCTAACCTACTGGTAATAGCTGGCAAATAGCAGGAACAAGGAACAGCTCATGAAGTAGAAGGTGAAGAACATTCCAGTGTTTTCTTTTTCCAGAATTGCAGCACTCATTATTGTACTACAGTTGACCAACCAATGGTGTGTGTGTACAGGTTCTCTTATATTATGTGTTCGTACATATATATATATATATATATATATATATATATATACAGTATATTTGTAGCAATTGTGCACAGAGAGATGGATGCGGTCATCCATTTTGCTCCAAACCCTCCATCTTGTATCTCTCTCTCCCTCCTCTTTCCTCATCTCCCCTCCCTCTCTGTTGAGTGACATGTGGTCTGTTTGATGCAGAGTTCAAAAAGGCATCAAAGCCCTGCGGGAGAGCTCATGGCTATAAACCCCAATTAGCCTGGCACCCATATGTTTGCGAGACTCTTGCTGGAGAAGGATCGTAAAGCCATAAACCAAGTCCTTCACTGAGTTCAAAGACATTCCAGATAAGCCATAAAGCAGACATCACATTCAAGACCCACTTTCCCCTATGATTACATATCTTGGAATATGTAAACTTACATAAAAACCAGGCATATATTCAGACCACTCACTTTAATACAAGTCGCCTGATAGGTTACACCCCCTAGCTGACAGCTACAGGAGAGCAGAAAATTATATCTCCTTAACCATCCCAGCAGGTATGTCATATTTCATACCTAGACGTTCAGCAGATGATTCTGCGTATTAATCTACCCGCGGGTGGAATGTTACATGTACCTAGGAAAAGTTATCGACCACAGTATAATTTGTGAGGACCTTGGTCAGAGCCCGAGCTCCCCGCCTACAACTCCCTCTCCAAATGAGGCGATTGGTTCTCTGCTTCAGGGAGACACCCTGCTAATTTCCTAGAAAAAGGCTGTTATGCTTGGAGTTAAGCTGAGCTGAGTTGAGTGGAAGTTGAAGATTCTCCCTTTTAACATCAGAACTAACTCTGGGAGAAAAGGCACCCTTTTGGTTCTGAAACTTGAAAGCTGCTTAAACCAAGGCTTTTGGCAAGTACTTTATCTATCTAAATTCCTTTCTGTTATCTCTTTGCTGTGTTATTGCTCTCTGTATACATATATATTGGCTACTCTTTTTCTGTAAATATTTTTATTGCACCCTTTTGACATTTTAGTAATAAATCTTACTTTCTGAAAGTGTTGAACTGTTTCTATTTTTTTTTTTTTTTTTTAAATTTAAATATTTATTAAATTTTTCATATTAATACAAAAACCCAAAAGGGAAATAATTCTCATACAAGTAAACAATCATATAACACTTCTGCCTTTCCCTTACTAAAAACTCTTTTCCTTCCCATCCCTCTACCCCCCCTTTCTGAAAGTGTTGAACTGTTTCTAAAGCTCTTTAATGCAAACTAAGAACCCCTGTTTCTGAAGAGCGCTACTGTGTGTGTTTAAATCTCTATATATCCCTGTCTGCGGTGACAGTGGTATACAGACGATTATTCAACCATCATAGTGTTATTGCTGATATTGCCAAGTTTCCTCTTTCTCTGTACAAAAAGGAGGTGGTGGCAGTGTGAAGGGTTAATTACGTAATTTACCTGACCCAGTAACAATCGCTCCCAGGCTGCAAGTACACAGATTGTGGTCCATTAGCTGGAAAATCTTTGTGCAGGGTGCAGCTGGGCATGGCATTGTTAAGCATGTTTTAGATTGGCTAGTTTTTAGATTGGCTAATCCTTCGGTCACGAGTTTGGTGAGAACAGATGGGGTCTGACACCACAATCGTCACAATTCTATCTTATTATGTTCATGATAAAAAGATAACATTATTAAACTGATGTATTTTTTAAGTAGGGTAGATATGAAATATTGCATGTTAATATTTATTATTACAAGCCAGTAGGTGGAACTCTATTTTTCACATGTTCAATCTAACCATAATTGCTTTGCTGAAAAAGCCTGTTATAAGGACTTTAGTGTTTCTGCTGTGAATGTCTGGATGAATTGCCTGCAGCTACAGAGGTCAATGGTCAGAGATGAGTTTTCTGTTCAATGACTTTTAATGAGTTTTTGAAAACGGTAATTCACAAAGTATAAAAGTGCAACATGATAATAATAACTGGTAGATAGACTGTTTTACATATTTGGACAATACAGAGGCAAGCCATTCCTGTAGGATTGCTGGTGTTAGGTTACATGCATACGGATATTTGAAGGCATAAAATATGTAAATGCGCAAATAAGTAAAATAGTGTAAAATTCCCAGGGGGGAATTCAATAAAGCTGCCGCGCCACTTTTCTGGTGTTAATCCCTCTTGTTAATGTGTTGCGCCAAATTCATGAATCTTTTGCAATACTTTCGGTTCTGACAATGACTTGTGCACCAAATTCAGGTAGTTCTAAAATGTGCCACTTTTACATTGTGGCTCAATGGATGTGCCAAATTCAAAATAACATACCGACAGTTTGTATCTTATGAAAGTGGAACTTATTAAGACCAACTCTCTTTTGGCGTACAGCGAGAGAAACTAGCACAGACAGATTTTGCATAAGTAACATGCGTCACATGCGTTGTAAAAGTGGCGCAGCATGTTCCAAATTCAAGTACAGTTTCTAAACAGGTTGGCACATACTGCACCACTTTTAGAATGCATACGAGACACTTTCACAACATCTGTCTGAGCCAGTCTTTATGAATTTCTGGGCCAGTGTTTTCCCAGATGGAGACAGATGGAGGAGCGTACAGCTGGACATAGAAGTAAATCACTGTACGCACCTGTACACCTGTACCAACAATTATGCTTCTGTGCATCAATGTTACCTGCGTATGCCTACACAATGTATTTTCCAAATGTAGAGCTTTTGCTTCCAACAAAAGTCATACATGCATTTTGTGGGTAAACACCTAAGCACAGAACCATCTGCATGTACACAAATACAGGGGTGTGCAGCCATTCTCTTCTATAGCCGTCCGTAAACCCCACCTGTGGCACCTCATAAATGATAGATATTTTACTCTAGGCATATTTTATGCATGTTAACATCCATGTGTTGAGGCCTAAAAAGGTGATTTGTGGAGAAGAGATATGTCTGTGTGAATAGTTGTGAAGTAGTTTGCAAAAACAGCCAAACAGTTTGTGTATGTGCTTAAAGTGTTACTAAACCCACAACAGTAAAATCAGCCTGCATATGCAGTAAAGCATGCTTGTTATACTAACTGTGGAACCTAAGGGGTTAATCATCTGCATTGTGTGAAAAGG